TAACAAAATTTTTATATATAACAATTTTAATTTATTTATTGTATAATTTAATAAATATTTAAAATTAAATTACATACTATCTAAATTATAATGCTCTAATAGCTCAGTAAATTTACTATCAGCATATTTATACTTAAGAACTTGAACTAGTGGATATATAATCGAAAGTGCTGCATATCGTGTACTACTAAAATATGCTGTAGCATCATTGAAAGGTTCTAATAAAGTAATAATTTCTTCTAAGAGATCCCATTTATATGATAATAAAAGTCGTTCTTTAAGCTTTCAACCTTCAGCTCAATCATCTGAATTTTCTGATAAAGGTAAGGTTGCAGCTAACTATTTGATCGCTCTACGTAATTTAAGTAACCTTCGCTATGAGTGATACTTAGAGTTCCAACGTGTCTTCACATCAGAAATATTTCTTAATACACTTTCATCAGAATTATACATATAGTCTAAAGGTTCATTATCAGAATTATCTGATGTTTCTGAATCAGTATTCTCTTGATGTTGCTCAAAGAAAGTAGTCAAAGATGAATTACATTGTTGAAATCATTGTGCATCATCTAAATATTCACTGTGCTTTGGAGACTGTGTAAAAAATTTAACTAATCGCTTAATTCTTTTAAAATAAATGTTTGTTTTTTTAAAAGCACGATTAATTGATAACTGCAAAGTGTGCGCTGCACAGGGCAAATGTTCAACATTCTTCCACAGATTAATTGCCTTAACCATGTTGCTTCCATTATTAGTTATAACGCAGGTAATCTTCTCATTTAACCCAAATTCAAGAGTTTTTTTTTTTAAAAGTAAAGCTATATTTTCACCCGAATGGGGTATAGCATACGTTCTATGCAAAGAAGACAGTCATATAGTTTAAAATTACTTGATAACCAATAGATGGTTATACTTATATACCTGTGTTTACTTCGAGCAGTCCATAGGTCAGTAGTCAATGATACTGATTCACAGGTAGTATCTAATAATTTTTTTATTTTTTCAACACCATTTGCATAACTTATATGAATTTCTTTTTTAATACTTTTTTCAGAAGGAATTAGAAAAGCTTTGTTAATAACCTTCATCATTTTTTGTAACCTTTTCCCTTAGTTACATTAATTGCCATATTGTCAGTAATAATCTATTCCATAATAGCTTTTCAAATTTCTTGAATTCGTGGCTCTTTATATGATTTAGACCTTGCTTGTTCGAATATTTCAGGTAAATTTTGCTAAATCATTCCATCTCGAGGCTATATTAAATTATTAATATTTTTAATTATGCATTATAATATTCATACAATACAAACATACCTTATCTTGAGTTTTATTTAAATTATATATATTTCGAAGGTGATTACTCATGTTACCTGTGTCACTATCATATTGAAGCTTACAACCACATAGTATCGACTCATTTCGCAAATTTATTGTTTTAACTTGGCATTTAACACATGTTTCATCATCACTTAGTTTGAAGTATCTCCAAACCCAACTAATTTTACCATATCACCTTCTGCATTTATTTAATTTAACTTTTTTTTTTGGAGATTGATCATTAGGAATTGAAGACGTTTTATTGCTTGAGCTAACAGAAATACTGTTACTGTTTTCAGGTTGTTTATAAGAAACAGATTCCTCATACATTTCATCAAAAATATCATCATTTTCATCAAATATTTTACTACGAAAAATATTTAATGTTTAATAAATAATAACAGAAACTGAAATTATAATTGATAAAAATTATGAAATTAATAACACCTTTTATTATATATTAGACTACAGATATCTTATTATTTAAGTTTTTTAAAATTATATATATACCAGTGCCAAAGATCTTAAAACTATATACACGCTAATACTAATGCTAAAGGTTTTTGAAGCTATAGGCACATAAATTGTCAATACCGAAGATTCTTGAGAATATATAAACACCAATACCAAAGATTCTTGAAAAGTTAATATTCGCTTACTCTTTATTCTTTCACTTTGTTCTTTGTTCGTTCCAATATCAATCTCCATCTTAAAATGATACCACCACCTTAAAATGACACCACTACCTTAAAATAACACCACCACCTTAAAATGACACTACCACCTTATATACACAAGGTATTATAGCGTTAACTCTTAGGTTCAGTTTTATTCAACAAATACTAAAATATCAAGGTGTGGGTATTATCATTCTCAAAGATCAAACCCTTTATTTTCTGATGCACAATTACATCACTATCTGTCATAATTGACTAATTGTGCGATTATGTCGATTTTTGTATTTACTCCTGCAAATTATACCCAGTTCTAGATATCACATGCATTCAATTAAAGCAAAAAAATGAGTAAATTTGATTGGTTAGTTATTTGCTGCGCCAATTAGTATGTTCATGTAACTTCATATCTGCTCTCACCCGGGTTAATGTATCTTACCCGGATACCTGAATAACCCGCAGGTTATCCGGATTTGCCTGACCCAGATCGCATCTCTAATACAATCGAGGTCTCTGATGCTGATTATAAAGCAAACCTAAATAATGATATGATCAGTATTTAATGCAGTATTTTATTTATTACAAATTTTTATTTTTTTTTATATTATTTATATATTGTAGATTTTTTGCTTAACAATATTGATGATTCAGAACAATCATCTGATAG